GTCTGTGGATCGTAGCATATTCTCCAACCAAGTGCTTGTGTTCTCCTCTTCACTTCCCTAGAGACTAGAGGAGAAAAAATAGGTGAAAATGTAGAATCAGCTCAGTAACTTGTCATTAGCTCTGATGATGGAAGGAGGGAAGCTATGCACTTCCTGGTCTCAGAAGATGGTAAGTTTCAGAGTGGGTTAAATTTTGGGACTGTCCCTGTCATCAAGAAGGGGTACATTCGTGGTGCACATTTCCCAAAGATTTGACCAGAATAGAAAATGTCCTTTGGGTGCCAGGGCTAAAATGAGCAGGTGAGTAAAATCACCGATTCACTCAACTGTGCACCACACTGCAGAGTAGCTATCATGGCTGAGCATGATCCCAGCTGAGAATGGAAGTAGACTGGATGGATCAAAAGAGGCAGAGCTCCTCCCTTCTGAGATTCTGGAATTTAGCAGAGGTATGAGAACAATGGCCAAGCAACTAGGGCCAGATGAAATAAAAAATAAATATAGGATGTGTTATCCCTGGTTGCTCACAGTACTACTGAATCCTATAGACAGAAAGGGTGGGTAAGAAGAGAGAGAGATCTTGTAGGGGAGAGCTAGGAGCCTCTGAGAGAGGATGCTGACCACTGACTTGCTTAGTGGAAAGAAGATCCTCCTCAGGCAGGTAAAAATGTGAACTTGCTTCAGACCAGCAGAACACCTCTTTCAAATACAAATGATGGGTTTGGTGTGAGGCAAGAGGGAGAAAAGCCAGGGAAAAGTGCTGAATGCACTTTGGAGGCAACCATATGTTTATTTGACAAAACAGTAGAAAGAAGCCATTAGAAAAAGCTAGACTTTAAGATGACAAGTCTTTCTAGGACAGAAATACAGAAATTCAGAGAAAGAACTAGAATGTGATGGAAGTTGGGGTTGGAGACTAGGAGAAGAGTACTAAAAACTACTGACAAGTCAGGAGCTGAAATCACACTGGTTGAAAGAGAATAGTCGAGAAGGACGAAAGAAGGCAAGAAAAGGCAATTAGTTGGGGAAGACAACAGTGTAGGACAGGCACTGCTGGCTCCACTCCATGTCCCGCAGTGATGGGAGGACATGTAAAATCTGGGTCCTTACAGGAAGCATGGTGTAGCACTAATGTGTTCTGCCACATCACTGTCCTAATCACAGCTGGAATGGAGGATGTCAATGAAGGTCACTGCCAGACTGGGCACTTTTTCAGGCAGCACAAATTAGCCTGCTAGAAGCTAGCAGGCCTAGACAGATTCCAGTGCACCAGACTATAAATCAACACGAAGCCAAACAATCAGAAATGCTTTAATCATCTGACAAATGATGAGGTGGATGCAAATTTGCAAGCCTGAGTTTTAAGAAAACAAAGCAGGTGGTCATAAAGATATTTTATCAGTCCTCTGCAATCAGGTATTTTCATTTTATAGCAGATATTTCAAATATTTACATTAAACTTCGGAGGTCTGCTTTTGCCCGATTCCAATTTGATTAGCTACACCAAGATATTTGTATTCCCTTGACTGTTTTCCCTTTTATTAAAGATCTCAGAAAATGTACTGCGTCTTTAAAAGTCTCCTTCCTAGAGTCTTGTCAAATGTGAGATTAGCCAAAGAGCTTCATCTTGAGAATTGAAAGTCAGTTTCCAGACTTCAGGTGCCCCATGCTGACTACCCTGGAGATGCAATGGGTTCATAAACGACTGGACACCTGGGCCTTCTTGAAAGGGTGCAGAAGTGCTATTTCCTGAAACTGATGAATGCCTAAGTTTCTGCAAGAAGACAAGTTCTACTGTTAATAAATTTTTCTTCTCTGGAACAACAACACACCTGAATTCACTTAAAGCACAGCATCTGATCACATCAAATTGTGTACGTGGAGGAAGTGTGTTCAGAGATGGTGTATGTGGATAAAACACACGATCTTCCCTCATAAGCACAATGTGGGTATTCAGAAGGACAAGTGACTGACACTGGTCATTGCTGGGCTCGCCCTCAACCCTGACCGTTGTGTAGAGCAGTAATTGAACCTCTGCCAGAGAAAGGATATTGACTCCCACATTTCCATGAAGAAAGTAAACCATGTCAACCAAGGTAGTCTGGAATTTGGATGACAAATGGACTCCATTTGCCAAAACTAAATCAGGGATTTCTGCTTTCCAATCCAGAGAAAGCTGAACTAGATCTTGTTGGAGTAGAGGATGATTCTCAAAGGCAGCAGCTTCAGACTTTGACATCAGGACACACAGGAGGTCACGGCATAACTGTTGAGAGAGATTTTTGTTGTAACTAAACACAGTGAGCAGAAGGGCCTCCGTGGATCCCAGGAATCGAATGCTTTGCCCACCAAAACCAATCTGAATTTCTTGTAGTCCAGAAAGAGATAGAACATGAAAGATGTCCATTGAGCCTGTGTGCTTATCTGACAGAACCAAAGAGTATAAAGTTGACTGAAGGAGGAGCAAACATGCTGGCTGGGGGTCAGGTTCTATGCAGTTAGCCACAGCAAGCCAGTAAATGCCTTTGATGTCCTTCACATCACCTATAGGTTCTGGCAGAGAACAAGTCACAACCTCAAGAAAGTCTTTTAAAGAATATTCTTGAAATTTCAGCATTTGGTCTGGGAATTGCACAAGGGTCTGCTTAAATGCAGAGCTCTTTCTAGCATCTTCAGAGTCAAGGCAGAAAACTGAACTTGGCAAGGAACCTGGTAAAGCTGCAGATGTGAAGGTGGAGGCCCTGTAAGGCTCTGGGCTCTTTTCTGGCCTCAGACTCCTTGCCTCTTTGTTGCTGCTGCTGCTGCTGCCAACCTGAGCTTCAGGAAAACAATGAGATCCGGATGGCACCACACGTGACTTCAAAAGCATGTCCAGGGGCAAGTGCTTCAGAAATGGCAAGCTTCTGATGAATGTTGTCACATGGGAGGTGAGCCCACTTGGGTCACACAGAGTCCCCACATGCTTGGCTTGGTGAATCATCTTTGTGCCAGTCTGTAGCAGGTGACTGCTAGTATCTTTATAAAGAGCTGAGAACTTGTGGTAAAAATATCCCAGCCTGTTGTTTCCTTCTGTCCTAATAGTTATCAGCGATGACGGAGAGCTATTCTTTTCAGCAGATAACTCTTTCTCATCTTGCTGTTCACAACAAAACTCAGGGGCCGTTGTGCTCTGAGAAGCACTCCCAGATGTGCTCTCTTCATGAGAAACACTTTCAGAGAGGACAAAGCAGAGCACCCTGCTTTGCCTGGCCTGCTTGCTTCTGCTATTTATAGACACTTGTTGGGACTTCTGTTGCAGCAATGTCCAGCTGGACTCAATTCCCAAGTTGTGTTCATCTTTGTGAGTCATCAACTCACTGAAATTATCTGACTTACTCTGAAAATCTTCTCCATCATTGGTTACGTTTTCCTTAAGGAAAAAGATTTCAGGTAGATGAAAACATTTTGGTTCAAGATGGCCAGAGTACTCAGGACAACAATATTTGTAACCACTGTCCTGCAGTTCCTGGGGTACTAAGGACTGATCCCTTCTTTCTTGTGATGTTGAGGAGGAAGCTCTAGAGCCTAAGATTCTCTGTTGCATGTGATGACTCCAGTGACTGCTCTGATCCTCCTCCCTCCTCTCTTCTCTAATGATGCTAGAAGTACCAGTGGCATCTTTGGGCAGAAGTGGGACAAGATATTGAGTGGGCCAAAACCGATTTTTCTGTTCAAGATGTCAAAAAAAAAAAAGTTGAAATGGGGATGTGGCACCATTTCTGTGATTCTTTTGCACATGATGATTCCTGTAGTCATTAGTTTCATTGAGTGTATTAATTCAGAGTTTAAGTAGAAAGCCTAAGCTAGCTGTATTGATTGGTATGATTTAAGAATAGATGATCTGATTTATACATAGCACATTAATTTCCATATTTATTATTTATAAATTGCCAAGTATTTTGATACAAGCATATTGTATAGGATTGATTCACAGTATCCACTTGTTGGTCTAACATTTCATTTTCTCTAAAGCAAATCCTAAGACCTTATTCAGTGTTTAAAAGGTCATTTATAGTTATGAAAATAAATGCAAGACCATATGTCCAAAATGTAAAAATATTAGGGCATACTTAATTAGAATTAGAGGGCAAGACCAAAAGCAATTCACAAGTATTCCAACTCAGGTCTGATTTCTCTTTTTGGTTCATTTCATGAGAATCTTGTGTCCTCTCTGGCTAAGTCAGCATCACCACGGAAGGCTTACTGCACATTTGCTCTGTGTCAGGCACCACAGAAACAAAGAAATAAAAGGCTGCACCTGGGGTAACCTGCTAAGGGAATGGGTATTCAGAGGAGGATAATATCACTCCTCAATGCTGGCAGGAGGGGGTGGCCAGGGCCACATTCACCCTCTTGCTCCCCATTCAGTAATGAATGTAAATCTTTGGCAGAGAGATTTCTACCACCTAGCAGGGTTTTGTTGTTGTTGTTGTTTGTTTTTATGGGAAAATGTGAAGGACATGCCCTTTCGGGGAAGAAAATACAAGTAAAATCTTACAAATTGTATGCCCCCCAAAATTGTTAGTTTGATAATCAACCAGAGAAATAAGCTAATTAACCAAGTGTATTTCCTTTATGCTGTTGCCAACTCACAGTCTACAAAACGAACAGGGTTTTTAAAACATTAAATAGTACTCAGTTTCATTTCCAAACCCCATATCTGATCCTGATTATATAATTCTGTCTTTTAAATGCAGACCAAGGAAAAGGATACTGTTACAAATGAAAAACTGGGCAAAGCTCCACCAAACCTGCGTGCTGTTCAAGAAAGTCAAAGCAGTTTTCAACCTGCAGGATTCCGTTTAATTCTAAGTCCATATAATAGCTTGCCTTCCCTATTAGCCATTAATCTCACTGGGACTTCAAAATTCTAATTATGCAACTAAACATTAAGAAAATTTAATCACACAAGCATGCCATAATTTAAGGCGACCCTATCAATCTGAAAAATCATTACCTACCTCATATTTTAGCTTACGTTGAATGGTGCCATTGTGAAGTTTCTCATTATCCTGAAAATAAATAAAAAGCCCTCTATATTAAATTATAGCATGTTCATAGAGGAGAGAAAAACTGATTTGATTAGACATATTTATGGGAATAAAATTCTATAGAAACATACTTGTCATTCAACAATGACAACCCTTTTACAGAATTTACGTTCCCAAGATAAACATGACTATTGATCGATCTGTCTGAAAAAGAACTGAACCTAAACGGTTCAATGATCTTAAAGTTCTAGTATTGAAAGCAAGATTTCCTTAGGATATTTCTTAATTTCCAGGTTAGAAATGAATTGTCTTTATTTTGATAAAAATCACCTGTTGCAAATACTTTTCTTCTCAAGGGGAAAATATATTTGTCCTTGAATAGTTTACAAAGTAAATTAAATATTTATGGAAATAGGTTGCATTTGAGAGAAAACAGAAAAATGTTACATCTAGGATGTTTATAAATCAAAGAATTAGAAAACTTTATATTCACTTAATAAAGGTTTTCTCTGAATCACAAAATTGCCAACTAAAATACTTGAATTAAAAAGATTCGTAAACTGTTAAGCCCCATCCAAGCAGTATTAGTACTTTTTTTTTTTTAAATATTCAACATCTGAATTTTCTCTTGAGAAGTGGTCATAAAAGACCCCACCACCATTCCCGCACCACTCATTTATCCACAAGGTCATCTTGAGAAATGAATGACCACGTAACTTAGCTCCTTCAGCTTACCTTCATCATATCTGCAGATGTGTTGCTGGCATGACCAATAGCATGATGCAAATCCTGAAGACGTCTTTGGACCTCTTCTTCAATGTAAGCATTGATCCTGAAAGTCATGGAGTCAAGACAAATATAAATGCTTCTAACCACACAAGGTTGCTATATCTTTCTTTCCTAAGCCCCAAACAATAGGGAGCTTTCTCATTCTAGCTGCCAAACAAAAAATCAATTTGAGACCTCACACAGTTTTTTCTTTCCAGGAAATCTAGAGCCATATGTTCACTGTTTATTTTTTTTCCACCAAATGAGAAAGAACTGGACAAATAACAGAGCATTGAGTCTGGAAAGGAGACTAAGCGACCCCATCCAAGTCTACTGATTTCCTTAGCGGAAACCTGCTGCAGGATGGGGGAAAAAAATCACAGTCCCTCACTTTAGGGACTCATCTGTTCCTAAGGCAGAACAGTGGGTTTCCTCACCCAGAACAGACTGACACAGATGATAATTATTTCTCAAGCACAAGGTCACTTATAAGGATTACAAAAAACAAACAAAACAAAAAACAAACAAAAAAAGAGGTCATAAGATCAATACTTGTTTATTATTCAGCATCTATGTGTAAGACAGCAATGCTTGACATTCTTGCATTATTTCTGGTCAGTCTTATCTCTCCAGATGGGTTATCTGGAGCTGTCCAGTAAGGTACCTTAAAGGTTTCACCTCCCCAAAACCGCCAAACAGGGCCAAGACAGAGAAGAAGCCACAAACGGTTGACCTTTGAAGAAGTTGTCAAGTCCTATCTGGTGTCCCATAGAATGTAAGTGAAGTTGTATTATTACTTAATACAACCATTAGCCTTAACCATCCTAGTGGATGCCAGCTCGATCTCTGGTCTGCATTTAAGTCATTCAATACAGAAGCACCAGAGAGAGTAGGAAATTTCAGCCACACCAAAGGTCTTTCCAATTGCTCCGTTATAGGCTCATCTTCTCCAATGCTACAGACACTGATTAGAAGGAATTTTTTTAAAAAATTAGGTGGTTTTGGCTGGACATAGTGGTGTACACCTATAATCCCAGTGCCTTGGGAGGCTAAGGCAGGAGGTCACATGTTCAAGGTTAACCTCAGAGACTTTGTGAGACTTTGTTTCAAAATTAAAAAAAAAATTAAATGATTTCCATATTTACATCTTGGAACATATGCCAAATAAATTTACCTGATTTGTGTTTCTAAACATATGCATAATCCTGTCAATATTTCTGTACTACCGCTCAACAGAGAAATAATTTTCTGAAATGCTGGACAAGAAGATTAATATTTTAGATAGAACGGCCTAAATAAAGTACAATATTACCTTTCAGTATTGAAAACAAAATCATGTGCAACTGAACATGACCCAAGGGTATTCACAAATTATCTCCCCTGACCGTCAATAAAATTTGAAACTAGCCCCATGAGGCAGATGGGGGACAGACCTAGACATAAGGAGCTACAGAGGCTCATGTAATTCTGACTACATTTTGATATCCAAATACTTATTTCCTAATCCAGGCCTCAGAACTGCCCAGTTTGAAGTGTCCCCATGATACAGATGGGGAGAAGGAAAATGATCGCTGCTTTCTTTAAGGCAAAGAATGATTAAGTTGATTTATCTGGGAGCTCCACACCACAGAGCAATTCACAATGCCACCTACATTGAAAATCATTTTATTACAGTAACATCAGATATATATATTTATTATATTCATGGTCATTCTGAATATACTAGTACAGTTTTTATAATAAACTCCATCTAAGTATAATCAATACTTATATAAAGTAATGGCCAGCACAAGGTTCTTCTCAGTGTAATTCAATGAATTCTGTTTTTGTGCTTTTCATCATGGCCTTGCATCACTCTGGTTCTGGATGATCTGGTTTCCCTGCACCTTTCAATTCCACCTTCTCACACAAACCATCTGCATCAAGATACCTTGGATTTGGCTGACTTGGTTCTCAGGTGCTGATTTAAGTTCAAATGACACTCCATCCCTGTCCCCATCATCAGGCATCAGCTGATAAAGACAGAGAACTTCTCAGGCATAGGTATTACTGTAGCCTTTGATAGATCCCTCTACATGCAAAATGGCCAATGCTGGTATGTGCATCACTAAATCAAATAAAATCAAATCATTGCATCAGTTTAATATTGAGTACCTGGCATCCATCAGGGGAGCCAGGTGAGATTTTTCAGCACTGGGTAGCAAGCTGAAAGAAGCAGCCTTCCTCTCCAGGGTCCCATGGTCACCTCTTTGAACACTGTCTCCCTCACAAATCTTCTGCTTTAGTTGCTGGATTTCATGTTCTAACCTACAAAGATGGGAATCACATGAATTTGTTCATTAACAGAATTTCTGGAACACATTCCCTTTGCAAAGCATTGTTTTAAAAAACCCAGGGTATTCAGACAAAAACTCTACATGCAAAGAGCTTTACTTTCTAGTAAAGGTGCTGCACACTTATAAGACAAGGTATGAGGTAAAAATAAGTCATAAGAAAGATCGAAGACAAGTGCTGCCACAGGGATTCAAAAGTTGAAGAATCTGACCAAATAAGAGTAAAGATAACTTGTACTACCTTCCAAGCACATCCTTGGAAATAGCTGTGAAGAATTCTGATTCCTTAATTCCTGCTTCAATAAGAGCTGGTTGTGGAGTACATAAGAAATTCTGTTGAATACTTCTCTTGACAAAGAAATTTATGCTTCAAAGAGCTTTCAGAAATCACCAATTTAGGAGGAAATTCATGGTCAGGCAGTTCTAAGTTGACTTAAAAACGACAGGGATAATATGGGCATCTGGAGTGATGGTGGAAGATGTTCCAGGTGCATACAAAGCAACACAAATGAAGGAGCTATGCCATGAAAACCAACCACTTTTGTGAGGGCAGAAGAAGAGGGGAGATAAAGAAGAGAAGACAAATCTAGGAAAGCAGATTGAGTTCTGTGACAAATTAAAATAACTATGAATCTTGGTTATTTTAATAACAACCAAAAAATTATCTCCAGTGAAAAGTGATACTTCTAATATGAGGTCAACTATGTTTACAGCCATCCTCCCACTGATCTGGCCATGCTTGAATCCAGGGCCATCAGGCTAGACTAGGGCCAAGCTGGCCAATAAATCTGGCCCCAGGGAACATAAGACCCAGTCACTACATGAAGGTGGGCAAGTTATTTCAATCTAGATCTCAATTTCTTTATGAACCAAATAGGAGTCAATTAATCTTTCATTTCATTCAGCTCCAAAAATAAAATGCTGACACACCAAGGTGCCACCAGCCCTCTGAATCTAAATTTCAGTAGATAAGAGGGCAAGAAAGCTAAGAGATGACTGGGAAATAGATCCATTATCATTTTGCATGACACAAGTCCTATGTGACACAAGTCCTCAGTGGCTACATAAGCAAAGCAGGTTCAATTTCCCCATCTGTTAACTGGAAATGATGGTACTCTCTTCCACGAAAGAGTAAACGACAATGCACATATGGCATTAAAACACAGTCTGTGTTAACACAGGATCATTCTTTCTGGCTGGCATCATAAGTTATATTTATCATTATGAAAGGACTCTGATAAAAATATGTGATTAAATATGGGTACTGACAGTTTTCTTCTGTTGTCCCTGCTATGGTGGCAAGAGGGTTTTTCTAGTGGGGCTGCATGATACATGTTATTGGGGCTCTCAGAATTAGCAGGTAGTAGAAAAGAAGACAGTGAAATAAATTAAACCTTGTTCATAAAGTACTGAGAAGCCAATGGGAAAGCCAAGCTCAGTGTTCTGTTGTCCAATCTGATCCCACATAAATTTAATATTTCACACTTGTGGAATTTCACAAGAAGCCAAGTCAAGCTGCACAGCTAATCCTGACTTAGTCATGAGAACCCAGAGAAAATAAACACAATGGAAACACCCACAGCAAGCTCCAGGGACAGTACAGACAAAGCACAGAATCCAGAATTCACTGGCCCAAATTAGATCTTAGCAAAGTCTATTTCACCAAAACTCATGCTCAGGGCCTCCTTTGTGTGGCTTCTGAAGGAATGTTGATACTAGGAAATCCTTCCATAAAAATCACAATCTTACCTCCACTCTTATAGAGAAGTAACACTAAATCGCTGGTTGACAAAGTCAGTAACTTCAAGCTAAAAACTCGTGATGCATTCTTATTGCAAACTGCAGGACACAAATTGAGAGCGTGCCCTCCACTACTTCAAATTTCCTGAGGTAGGAGCTTTGTCCAGCAATTTCATTTACATAGCACACCTGTAATCATTTTCTTAAACCTCTCACCCATTTCTCTGAAATAATAAGCTTTTTTATTGTTATTTTGTTGCTGTTTTGCCTGAAGGGATTACCAGAGAGCTATTATAAATATGATCCACAGTATAAGCCAATCATTTGGATGGAAGTTGTTTTGACCTTTTCAGGAAAGATGATGGGCTACAGTAACATTTTTTAGTAGATCTAACTTTGTCATCAGCAAGTGACCCCATGCCTTTGTCAAATGAAAGCTTAAGTCTTAAGGTAGTAGACTGCTTCAGTTGGAGTCCCTATCAGAAGGTGGCCATGGATGGGAGAGGGCAGGTCCAGGCCCTCTAACCTGGGCTTTGGTTAAGGTCTCAACTGCTCAAAAGGTTTGGAGCTAAAAGAAAATACACAGACCTCTGATCTCAACCAACCCCTTGTATAGGTCAGGACACTGAGGCCCAAAGATGAAGGATATTGCCCAACGTCATCAATGTCACCCAGGCAGGAAAGGGCTGGGCCAGGGTATGATGTCTCCTTATAAACCTCCAAACCAGGTGCCACTGGCCCCTCTGAGAATCTTAGCATCATCTGTACAGAATTCGTGTATCTATTAATTTTAAGAACCTACTGTCTGATAAGCATGGAGACAGGAAACAGGCACAGAAAAATAAATATTCTTTAAAAAATTTCTAGTTTCCTAATTCTATCTTTTACAACACCCAAAACAGTAGTATATCACCAAGAATGCTTGAATATTACACTGTGTTCAAAATCAGCTGGAGAGTTTTGTTTGGTATGGTTGTTTTTTAATATAGAGTCCTTGATGCCTCCTCTCAAATATTTGAATCATGAGAAGTAGGAGAAGTACTGGAATTTAGTTCTCCTCAGGTTGTGGGAATCAGTACATTAGATGTAATGCAGGAATTTTAGGAATGTCACTTTATTGTAACAAGTGCTAGCTCTAGAAGATGTGATGACATTACTGAGGAAGGGCAGGTGTGGGAACAGGGAAGGACATGAGGGAGGAAAGCAAAGAAGAGAGAGAGAAGGAACAAGGGGAGGAAGGGGAAGAAAAGTGGGAAGGAAGGAGGAATGCAGGGAGGAAAAAAAGAGGGTAGAAGAAGGGACAGAGGGGGCAAAGGAAGGGAATGAAAGGGAGAGAAGACAGAAGGGGAGGAAGGAAGGAAAAACAGAGAAAGAGAGGGAGGGGCAGGGAGGGGGAAGTAAAAGGGGAATCATGGCAGAAGTTTTCTTTGAGCAGTTGAGACCTTAACCAAAGCCCAGGAGCAATGGGCAAGGACTTTAATTATGATTTTTTTAACTTTAGGTCTATTGTTCCAAAACAAGGATCCTACGAAATGAAAGAATGTTTAAGAATACTTTTCTCAGGTTTGATAAAAATAAGTATTTGCCTATGTATCAGAGAATATGTTTAATAATGCTAAGTGAAGTTAGCCAATCCTAAAAAAACAAATGCCGAATGTTTTCTCTGATATGAGGTAACTGACTCATAGTGGAGTAGGGACGGGGAGCATGGGGAGGAATAGAGGAATTCTAGACAGGGCAGAAGGGTGGGAGGGAAAGGGAGGGGGCATGGGGTTAGCAATGATGGTGGAATGTGATGGACATCATTATCCAAAGTACATGTATAAAGACCAAATTGGTGTGAATATACTTTGTATACAACCAGAGATATGAAAAATTGTGCTCTATATGTGTAATAACAATTATAATACATTCCACCTGTCATTTATTTTTAAAAAATCAATAAAAAATTTTTTAAAAAAGAAATTATTATATAAAAAAATCATTTAAAAAAAGACAGAAACTCCATGAGGAATAGAAAATGGGCATGATTTGGTTCCTATTGTAACCCATGTTCTCCCTACTCTACTCTCACCTCTCCTGGTCCTTCTCCAGGACCTCCTGCTGAGCTTCCAGGACATCGGTGCTACTGTTGAGACTAGCAAGCTTCTGCCTCTGCTCTTCTGTCTCCAGGCCCAGGGTAGAGCGCCTCTGCAGAGCAGAGTGCCTTCTCTCCAGTCTGGCCACTGCACGCTCCAGTGCCTCTCTCTGCTGCTTTTCCCGTGATTCTAGAATCTCCTTTTCCTTCTTCCTCACTTTTTCTTCCTGTCGTGCCACATTGGCAGTGAATTCAAAGGTGGCCTGGAGCTGCTGCAGCTGGCTTGCACTGGCTCGGTATTGCGCGAGCTGCTCTTCTTTTTCTTCCATTTCTTTTTCTACTTGATAAAGAGTGTTGTCTAAGCCCAGAGGACCTCTGTCAAGGATTTCAAGCGCTCTCTGCTTTTCTTCCAACAGAGCTGGCAGATGAGTTTGCAGGAGGTACTGTAGCTGGCGTTCTTTATATTGTAGCCTGTACTCTGCTGGCTTTATTTTCTCTAAATCTCCAGCCACATGTGAGACACTTGTGACACTAGCATCATTTTTTGCTAACCACTTAGATTGCTCCTCATTTTCACATTTTAAGCGCTGGAGGGTTTCCTGCTCTGCTAGGACTTCTTTTCTCAGGAGGTCTTTCTGCTGGACCAGGTCTTTCTCCAAGTTAGCTAGTTTGACAAGCTGCCTTTTCTTGAACTCCAAGAAATGTAGGTGAGCTTTTTCCAGATGCTCATCATCTTCCTCCTCCCCTCCTGCCCCAGCTTCCCTGGCCCGCAGGAGGGCTTCCCTGATGTCTTCCAGGTCCCTCTTTTCCTCCTCTGCCCGTTGGACCTCACTGCATCGCAGCAATGGAACCATCTCTTGTTTCTCTCGCAGCTGCTCCTCCAAGTGGGTAACAAGCAGCACCTGCTCCTTCTCCTGCTCCTCCAGTCTCCTTTTCTCCAGTTCCAGCTTGGCGTGCTGTTCATCTTTTTCCCGCTGGAGACGGTCCAGCTCTTGGAATATCTGAATCTTCTCCGCCTGCTCACTGTTGTTGAGTTCTTGGAGTCTCCGGAGCTCCTCTTTGACACGCAGAAAGCTTTCTTCCTCTTGTCTCTTCTTCTGCAGCTCAATTTCCTGCTGCTCTCTCAGCCGTTCCTCCTCAAACTTTTCCTTCTCTGCTAGCAAATCCTTGAGCTTGTTCTCAATGTGGAAGCTGCGGCGTTTGAGGCTCTCCTCCTGCTTGCGGATTTGGCGCTGCACGATTTCTGTCTCTTTGCGCTGGGTCTCCACCTCCTGCTGCATCCTCTCCAGCTCTGCCTTGTCTGACTTCTGCTTTTCCTCCATTTCTTCTATGAGTTTCCTACAATGCAGACATTGACCGATCATTATTTGATCACTATGTTAAATGTTGTTCTAACTTTTCCCTAACTGGAATGTTCTAAAAATGCATACGCAACACAAAGCTAAATTCTCCATTAAAATAAAAGAGGAGAAAGTGTCCTTCTTTCAAATTTTCAACAGCATGTCATCTGTCCAACATATCTGCCTAGTCTCCTGAAGTAGCCTCTGATATAATTTCTTTGTGGAGCTTAGAATCATAATGTGTTATGCATGATATAATTTTAAAAGCCCCCTGAGCTCAAAGAGAAAGAACCATGTCCAATTTAAATTTAAATGTGAATAATTTTATTCAGCCCAATGACTAAAACTTAAGACATTCAGTAACAAGATGACATTAAAATACTCATGCTGTCTTTAACTCTTGGAATTCGAATACCAAAGTAGAGATAATAATTCATTGTTTCAGCTCAAATAACTACTTGCTACATAGTATTTAATCACTAGTTTAGGTAAACAGTAATCATCAAATGGCCCCAAATATTTGCTTATTAATGTATAACACTGAAAATAACTGGAGTCTCCATTAGAATGCTGAAATGCACAATTTTAGGGGTCACATGTGTGTTTTCTCTCAGAATACAAAATCCTCACTGAGTGCTAAATCAGATTTTAGGCATTGGCTTTGGCCTCCAAAGCAATGATACAGAATAAGATTGTGTATACATGGGCCTGATTCTTGTCTCACCAAACATCTTCCCTCTATGTTGCTGGAAACTAAACTGATTCATTTGTAACATTTACAATACAGATTCTAGAAAATAAATGGCTAGTTTGAAGATTCCCTATGGCCTTAGCTTCTACTCCAATATTTATCCACTTCTTCGGTTGTTAAATAGGATGGTTAAAAAAAAAGGGAGAAAATACAGTTTTATCAACAAAGACTATTTCAGAGCATATAAACAACTTACCAAATCAATCAAATAGCCAGAAACACACATCCCTGGCCACATCCCACAAAAGAAAAGTGAGCAAAACAGGCAAATTATAGATGGGAAAATACATACAGACAAACAATATAAGGAAAAGTGTGTGTAAAGTGGAGAAGTAATAAGAAAATTTTGATCTTGCATTCATTCACTCTTTGATTCTTTTGGCTTTTTAAAAACTCAAGGAAGACTATTGAGAGAAGACATGTTTTTGAGTTAAGCTGAAACAAATATATATTTGGTGTACTAACCTGGTATATTAAATCTGCTTTCTGACTCTACTCCCCCTTTTTTACAAGTATTTGAAGATAAACTGCTTAAAAAACTAAACATGAAGTAAACTCAAACAGTTAAAAAGAAACCACCTACAGCCATTAGATACGTAAACGACAAAGAGCAAGAGGGAGGGCTGAAGCAGACACATAGGAAGTCAGTGCAGGCAGCAAACACAGGAGTAGAACTCAAATCCAACATGCCTTACCTTTTACTTTCTAATTTTTCAAGTTCTTCACGCTGTTGTCGCTCAAATTCAAGTCTAATAACATCAAATAAAAATAAAGTCACTTTTCTGAAAGTACTTTTTTCCCTCTTTATACATTCACATAATACAAAGCATCAGTTTTCCAAGTATTATTTTTAATTACCATGGATTAGCAAGTTTAAAACACATTCTTTGCTCTATGACTATAATTAGAAATTAGATGTACTTTTGGGTGCTTGAACACAGATTAAAGAGAACAGATTTGACTTAAAGAAAAACAAGTGAAGCACCTCTGAATTTTGAAAAGGAAGAATTAAATGTAACTTGTAAATGATAAGCATGTCTACCCAACTAAGTCACTGATGAGTATGTAAAAATGGAGAATCTCTACCTTAGACAGATGGGTCCTTTTATGGGGAAAAGACTGCCAGGGAGGTAGAGAGAGAGAGAGAGCACAGACATCAATTAAGAAAATTTAGCAGGAGGAAACATAAGGAGAAAAGCAGTAAGTCACTTATAAAGACAAAAGCCATGCACAAATTGAAATGCCTTCTTATAAATATTCCACTTTCCAACAATTTTATAAAGTGAAACACTCCAAAAAGTTCACTGTTCTGTTTTGTGCACTTCTCATGCTAATCATAGTACTCATAATAACCGAGTAACAATAATCATTGTTAACAGCAGTTGTATTTTTATTGTTTCATAGATTGTTACAGTACATACAGGTTCATCAAGATCCTCCTATAATTAATGGTTACATGACAGAGGATTTACTGGAGATTAGGAGCTTGTGACAAAAATTCACACTGTGCTAGAAAAACAAAGTAATGCAGGTTGTTGGGAATTTTAAAACTTACTAAAATATTGAGAGCACAGGTTGGCTTCTCAAATATTAATTATTGTGAGGTTTCACTATTCATATTAAACAGCATGAACTATAATTCTTAAACTTACACATTTTCTTATTATGTAGGTAGCAGAGAAATACAGGTGAAAAACTGAACTATAGAAAAATTCATTATAAATTGTGTTCCTTGGATAACGTGTAAATCCAGATTGGCAACAGAGTTACTTTTATAATGATCAAACATTTCAAACAGATCTCTTTCCAATTTAATTTGGGCTGTTTTTGAATGTAAGATATGTGGTTGCTTTTGTAAGCAGGAGTTATCTATGATGTAGCAGGTGCTGTGCTGGTTTACACATTAAGTCCCTTTGTCTTCCCAGGAAACATTAAGGGAGGAGAATATCGCCATTTTACAGAAGAAGAATCCAAAGCTCAGATATGTTAAAGAACATGTCCAAAATTATAGTGGTAATATGTGGGGAGCCAAGATTTGAACCCATAACACCATGCTTCCAAAACACCCTCTATTGACTCATTTTAAGAGAAGTGTTCTATTTTATGGTATAAAATAAATACACTAGCTAGGCACAGTGGCACAAGCCTGTAATCCCGGCAACTCAGGAGACAGAAGCAAGAGAATCTCAAGTTTGAAGCCTCAACAACTTAGTGAGACATTAAGTAACTTAGTGAGACCCTGTCTGAAAATAAAAAATAAGAAGGGGTAGGTATATAGATCAGGTGTCTGTAAACTGCCCTTGAGTTCAATCTCTAGAACCAAAAACAAATAAAAGAATGAACAAAATATTAAATCCTTCTTTGAAACTTGGTAGAGTTACATTTATCCTAGTGTCACATGATGATAATCTGCAGCTTACTATAAATATTGCCATACAAAAGAAGTCAGTCACATAAATATGAAGCATTTGCCATCCATGGAGCCCAGTCTAAATTTCATTATATTACATAGGTACAAGGCTTCATTAAAATTAAAATATGATCATTCTCTTTTATTTAACAACAAACAGAACCTTGGTCAATATTTTCAGTTTGGTATGTATAGACATATTTACCAAGCAAAAATGTCTTACTGAATAAAATACTTTTAAAACCCAGAGAATTACCCTAATACAATTACCTTTATTCTCAATTTTTATTTTCTGTGAATAATAGCCCATCAGTACACTTTGACAATGTCACATGTAGGTGGCACTAAGCAAATGTTACCTTGAGAGATGAAAATGTGGATGAAAACCTCCCATCTGAGGATTATTTCCAAGATGCAGGTACTGTGATTGACACTCATCATGCACCACCCTCATTTTGTTTTCTCAACCTTGAAAGGTTGATGCATTTATCACCCTTATTTTACAAAGCAGGAAACTGAGGCTTAGCGGATATGATCAGCAGAGTCCAAGTTTGCTAGTAAATCAGTGCTGCAAACCACTACCACTCTTGCTAAGGAGCAGCATGGCCTCAAGTACTCAAGGAGATCATAAAAATCTGAGTTATAATAGCTAACGTGACATTTTAACTGAGCCCCTACTTTGAAGTTTTAGGCAATGTGGAAAGCCAGAGCGTACAGTAGTCTGTAAAAGAGATGCAGCCTCTGGCCTGGTCTGTGACAGCCTGTGTGTCATACGCAGAGAGAAAACTGATCCCAGAATCTAGTGGGACCTAGAGTCAAGGCAAGCTCCCTGCTTCTAGGTATTACCTGTGCCATTCTTTCTCTTTCATGATCTGGGAACTCAAGAAATTCTCAATAAAACCAGATCTTGGTTTGCTGAGGGAGAAGTGGAAAGAAATGAAGCAGAACAAAACAACAGAAGCCAATCAGGAAAGGACACTGAAAGTTATATTAAAGATTTTGAACTTAACCCTAAGGATGGTAGCAGAAAAATATCTCGGAAAAGGGTTGTTGAAGAACACATACACTGGTTGTTTTGTAGAGAACACATGGAAGGGGAGCAATATGTGAATTCATGAGACAAATGAAGAAACTTGTAGTAACTTAATAAATTAGGAGACTTCTATGAAGGCAGGATCCACTATTTATAATAAGGGATATCCAACTGGAATAAAGAAATGAACATATCTTTTGATATGCAGGAGGTCAAGCTGACAAAATTCAGTAACTGGTTGAATTTTGGTAGGGGTGGTGACAAGAAAAAAAGAGTAAAAGATGAGCCTCAGGTTAGTGGCCTGGATTCAGAAAGTGTGGAAAGGAGGAACATAACCACCAAGAGACTGAGCTAAAGGGTCAGCAAGTCTGAATACAAATTCCAGTGGTTGTGAGATCTTGGATGTTTCATTTTCTTAGAAGTTAAAGGAAAGAACAGACCCTACCTAAGAGGGTTGTGGCCAGGATCAAGTGAGAGGACACATGGAAAATATCTGTTGGCACCTGTGCATGTTAGGTGTTCTGTGTCACCATCATGCTACAGTCTACTCTCAATGTTACAGTGAACTAAGGTAGGAAGGAGAACTGGGGAAGGAGGCAGTGTGTGTTAGGGGAGGAGGGAACTGTAGTATGAGCAGTAGTTATGCTAGTACTTAGGGTAGATGAACCCAGGACAGTTGTTAATGCCCATTGAAGCTACCAACCAATTCCCTCCACAGTTAGCACTGCTCTGAGTACTTAAGACTTAATTCCCACAATGACCCTACTCTGCCTTCTGGAAGATAAGTGCAGTTTCACATATGTTCAATTCAACAATTCCTAAGGGTCATCCAAATGGAGATGTCCAGTAGGCAATGGAAGACCAACAAAGACAGCTCCTCAGGCCCTTATTAAGGATGGGGATAAAGACTTTGAATTTGCCAGAGTGGGCTAGCAACTGAAGCCACACGAGGGAGTGAGGTTACCCAGAACACACAGCAGAATGAGAATAAAGAGGCTTAGTGCAATGTCAGAAAGACCACTTATACACACACACACATACACACACACACAGTAGTGATGGGCAGAGAAGGCTGGGTCCTCAAATGAGGCTAGAGATAAGCAGTCAGACACACACAGACATCAGGAAAGAGGAGGTCCTTGAGAACACACAGAAGAGGGTACTTCCAAAAAGAAAAGGAATCAGTGGTATTAAATGTTCAGGAATGTCAAGTACAAAAGAACCCAAGGAGCACCCCTTGAACTTAGCAACATGGAGGTCACTGGTAATCTTGAAGCAACCTTTGTCAGGTTTAGGGCAGACTGAAGTGGGCTGAGAAATGAGGTAGAAGAATATGGAGGCTGTGAGTATATATGCGGTAGAGAGTTTTCTCAGTGATTTTGCTTGTAAAAGGGATGTAGTAATTTTAGGAAGATGGATGTTCATTTTAACAGATGAAAGAAACTTGTATCTGTTTGATCCTGGAATAAACAAGCCATAAGGAGGGTGGGGAGGCGGGAGGGGAAGAGTCAGAGAATGGGTGGAAAAAACTGGGAGGAAGCAGAAAATATCTGATGGTCAGAGGTTTCCAAAATAAGAATAATAATGACTATGGGCAAGGGATTTGGAATTACTTTGGTTCAGATAAAATCTTGGCTCATATGTGGGAAAAATCTCTCAACCTTTCTAAACTTGTTTCCTCACCTACAGATGGACTAAGAGGGAGGATCCAAGGAGGAAACACATAAACACTAAGATGTTAAAAAATATTAACTATTAATCCCATAGGATTCACAGTACAGGTAAGAAAGTTACCATGAGAAGGAAAAGGGGGTGTTCTGCCACTGGGACAGGAAGGGAGGGATGCAAGATAAATGTAAAGCAGAAATGGGATTTGAGGGTGTTGTTCTCTTAGGAAGTCTGTATTCTCTGTGCAGTTAGAAACAAGGTCCTAAAAGTGAAGAGACATAGTGGTGGAGTTAGAGGTGTAAGGGTCAAGGACACTATTTATAATAGGTGATAGGGCAGTAGGTAAGGGAACTGATATAAAAAAATGAAGGAAAACAGGGCTGGATGGGCATCAGTCAAGCTTTGAGATATGGGGGGAGAAAGTTCAATGGTCCCAGAAGTGGGACCCAGGAAAGTATAGAACAGAAGGACCATCTGAGCTATTGGGAAGAGGATGGCCCAATTGTTGGCAGAAGAACTTGATTCGATATTAATCAGGAAATATTAAATGAGGACAAGACTTAAAGGAAAGAGTAGGAAATCAAAGACATATCAAGAATAATTACTATCTAAGAAAAATGTTGCAGGATGGGTAATCC